CGGGGGCTGGGTTTGAGCCCACTAATACCCACTTGGGCGGGGAACATTACCCCAAGATTTCAGCTTTCTAGCATATCAGAACCCCGAGTTACGAACCGACCCCAAAAAAACTTTGGGGGGCCCGTACGCGGGTACCACGCGGGCTTTGGCGCCAATTTTGTGAATGGGGGCCCGTACGTGTATGTAGATTATGTCCCCAAAGTTTCAGCCCCGTAGCTTTTGCGGGTCTCGAGATGAAAAATCGGTAGAGAGGCTCAGCGCACACACAGACACACAGGCACACACACACAAACACACACAGACACGCACGCACACAGACAACCTCTCGTCAATATACTTTTTTTGCATTGCATTGCTGTAAAAAACGCATAAAAATTAAAATGATTTATAAGGTCGAACGCAGTCGTGCTTCTCAAAAGCAACAGAGTGGGAAAAACAAATTAAGAATAAACATTATAGTGATTATTCGATTTAAGGCATGAAATTCCAGTAGGCGAGATAACTGAAATGTTTCTAGCAGATTTAAAACAATATGCAGCAGGAGAAGCCAATTTCGCTGCAAAAGCACCGACAGTGATATGTTGTATAGACTATGCTACAAACTATCGTTAGGCTGACACCGATCCATAACATTCAAGCTTAGCTGGGTAAATGTGGCGACGTGTCTTCTCGACACACTTGGAGCCGCCGTGCCTCGACTCTGCCTAGTCCGTTACTACTCCCAAACCTCGATGAAATGCCCGGATGAGGAATTGTGCGAGATACAGTTTAGGCTAAATATGAAAATTAAGGTTATAAAATCAGATGGAAAGAAAGGAAGTGATACGATGCAGTGGACTGACTTTATGAAGAAGCTACCAGGAGAACCAGATTATATTAGATTAGCGTAACGTGTGAGGGATCAGGATTGCGGACGCGTGGCCGATCGCACGTCACATGCACGAAGCGGAATCAAAATTAGACTGCCTGTGGGAGTCATTTATAAATGTCTGAATTCAGGCTTCTCACGCTGTGACTATCAAATTACAAACATTTCTTGCAGGCTGTTAACCAGTCCCAGGCTTACGACCAAAACATCCACAAATTGGAAAGCCCGCAAAATTAATTTCAGCGAAGCGCGATTTTCAGTTCATCCACATATACACTAATTCTCATGATGTATATCAATTGGAAAGCTTCCCGAGCGCAAGTTTAATTCAAACGAAATTATTGCCCGATAGCAGAGCAAATTACAGAAAAAGGAACTGGCATAAAAACTTTACTCCGTACCGTATCTATTCCGCACAAGAATACTCTTAAGGGATCACCCACCGAATTCCTCAAATTTTTTTATTAAAAGAATTAAATCTACGATCACAGAAGAATACGCCAACACAGCTGCTCATCCCAGCGGGTGCGTCGTAGCTGTTATCGTATAAAAAGATTGAAACGCCCCAAAGACCCCACTATCCACCCACTCGCTTTCGCTTCCCCTCTCCCTCAGGGGAGTTTTTATGATTTAGGATTTATATTTTTGAGCGTTTAAGGATTTAAGGATAAAAAGGATTTAAGAAAAATTGTGAAAACAACAATATAAGGAAGCAAAAACTTCCCTCCTCCGACCAATGATCTTGAAAAGGAATGGGAACCATCAGCACAGCATCTCATGAACACTTTTTCAGAACTTATAAACAAAAATCTACAGAGTATCTCAACAAGCTCAAATGCTTATTACTTTTGGGTTATTGTTCTAATTTGAAAAAGAAAAACGACACATACCGGAGATCTTCTCCTGGAGTTGTCTTGCAGCTCCATTAATAACTTCTTGTTCCTGGAATCGAATA